CGGAAGATTCAAAAGAATTCTGGCGGTATTTTCGCGGGATTACAGAGCGTCTACTTGACTCCCGTTGTCCGATGAAAGTAAGTAGACCTTGTGCGCGACCGCCGTGGGTCACTCCCATGACAAAGAAGACGCTGAAGAAGAAACAGAGGCTGTGGAAGAAGTATTTGCAACTTCGAGATTCAATAACATTCATCGGATATAAGAAGCAGCGCAATAAACGTCGCAATAAAATATGGGTTGTCAGAAATTCTTTCGAGCGCCGACTGATAGCAGACTCTATTACATGTCCCAAGAAGTTTTATGGGTACATCCGTAGTAGGAGAAAACACAGGGACGACACTGCGTGTCTAAAGGATAGCCTCGGAAACTTATTAGTTGAAGGGCCACAGAAAGTGCAATTACTATCTCAATTGTATCAACTGGTTTTTACGGAGGTGTCCTCTGAAGACAATCAGGAGTTTGAAATGGAGCAAGACAGCCATGAGCTGCAAATGCGTCAAGATACTGCTGTCATTGAAACCGTTGCCTTTTCCGTCGAAGAAGTAAGAAGTGTCCTCAGTCAAATAAAATCGGATAAGTCTCCTGGACCCGACGGGATTCCTGGGCTGATTCCAAAGGATCTATCAGCGGAGATGTCATAACCTCCTTCGACTCTCTTTGAGCTGTCAGTAAGAATAGGGAGGCTGCCATCACACTGGAAGACAGCTAACCTCGTTCCCCTACGTAAGGGAGGTAGCAGGATGGCAGCAAGCAACTTCAGGCCTATTGGCTTGACTTGCCTCTCATGCAAAACGAAGGAAGCTCTAATAAAGTGTGCTATACAGCCATTTTGTGAATAAAATAACACCTTGCAGGATCTTCATCATGACTTCCGGAGAGGGCGTCCCTGCCTTCCGAATCTGCTAACTTGTCCGGAGATCTGGACCGGAGCTTAAGAGGAGGGTTTTGAGGTCGATGTCGTGTACATCGATTTCCACAAAGCATTCGACACTATCCCGCACCAACGCCTTCTTCACAGATTGAGCGCAATCGGCATCCGAAGAGATCTTCTGAACTGAATAGGGACGTTTCTCGTTGTTCGGAAACAACGTGTCTGTATCGGAGATGATACGTCGGAGTGGTTGAACGTGATTAGTGGTCTATCTCAAGGCTCAGTTCTACGACCATCGCTCTTCATCCTTTGTGTTAATGACAGCCTTCAGGAGCTCGACTGCGATTAAATAATGTTTGCCGATGAGGTTAAGCTTTGGCAAGTCATTAAGAGTCCAGATACCCAGAGAGCCCTTCAAAAAAATTTGCAACGAGAAGCGACTTCTGGATTTCAATGTGCAGAAGTGTGCCGTACTTCATTTGCGTCCAACCAACGCTCATTCAACAGAGAGCCTGAGGGTATATCACCTGAAAGATATTAGACTACCCGCAGAATCTTCAAAGAAGGATCTCGGTGTTTGGATACAGAGCGACATGCAACCAGCACTGCAGTGCAACAAGGCTACAAAAAACGCCATGGGAGTGCTGTATGCAATCAAAAGGGCTTCCGTAACCTTTGACAAAGAAATTTTTAGAAGAGCTTACGGCAACTTTGTTCGGCCTTATATAGAATATGGCATACAAGCGTGGCGGCCATGGCTTGTGAAGGACCAAACATGCCTTGAAAGAGTACAAAGTCGTGCAGCATAGCTGATAAACGGTTTAAAAAGCCAGTTCTACATAAAAAGACTTAATTGGCTTAATTTATTCCCTCTATGTTGCAGGCAGCAAAGAGGCGAACTTATCCTCGTCTACAAGATAATGCATGGTCTCGAGCACGGACTTAGGTTTGAGGACATGTTTCAGTGGCACCTTTCACCCAATTTTCGTGGTCACTCGATGAAGCTACGGGCAAAAATGTCCAGGCTGAATCTTCTTTCTGAATTTTTAACGCAAAGGGTAGTGGAGAAATGGAACGATTTCCCTCGGTCAGTCGTGAAGGCGACGTCCCTGCAACTCTCCAAGAAACGCTCGGACGATTAGTTGTGTCCCCTGTTTTCCCGCGAAATCTGAGCCTGAGCTAAATGCTCCGCGTTCCCCGTGAATTCTTTTCGTTGAAACAATGCTACTCAAATGAATCAGATGATGTTTTAATAGCGAATATTCTCAGTGTTCGTAATTTTTCTTTATTCCCATTATGAATTCGTCGTATACATCAACCGTTTTTTAAGCCGCTATCTACATACAGGCCAAGCACGGAGGTCAGCTGGGTATAATACTCTCATACAACAGCTGGGAATCTCGAACCATGGTACCATGTTCTGCTTGCGAATGTCCTTATATCTACATTCGTAGAGACTTTTAAGAGGAAACTGTATCAACACTGTTTAACGCACCATAGTGCCATCAGGCCGATGGCATCTTGACACCTTATGTTTTACAATTTATTACTGTTATAGTACTACTATCCAGTAGATGGCATATCCGATGAAAGGTGTCAGAATTTACTAAGGATTGCTAGTCACTCGCATAGCGACACCAATGTATGTACCCAATATGCTTAATCATATAAAACAACTTTAACGGATTTCAAAACAGAAGAAATATTTTAGGTAATATTGCGTTGTTTAGAAAAGTCATTTTTTTCGGAAGAGCGGAGAATTCCGTATACGCAAAGAAATGGTTGTAATGGAGCAAATAGCTGTTTTAAGTATACACAATACATGTATATGCAAAAGTAGTTAACCTGGCAGCACAAATAAAACAACATTCAACAGTAGTGTTTTTGTGGAGTTTACATCAAGATATTTTTTCTGAATGAGTGTAATGTCCGGCGTGTGGGTATTACAACAGTCTACATTCGAATGTACATTCCGATACGGTTTCATGAGGATTTGTTGTATTTTTTGCTTTTGCATTGATTGAGATGCGCTTTACCAGCACATATACGATTTTATCTTATTTCACTGAAGGGAGCGTATGAGGGATAAAATATACCCTATAAAGTGTTTGGGCGCTCTTCGTTATGTAGATAGTAGTTAGGACTCAAACAAACACGTCCCACGTTTCCAAATAAAATGGGCGCCCGCCACAACAGTCAACGACGAATATGCTCTCGATCGATCGAAAGCTTTCTTCAGTAGTTTGCCTTTTCAAAGAGTGAATCAATGCTGCATCCTGCTGACGGATGTCTGCGTACTTCTCTTTTTCATATGGCGAACTAAAGGACGAATTCGCCACTTTTAACCGTTGCTTCCAAGTCGCTAAAAAAATACCGGTATTTTTTAGCGCAAACGGAAGAATAGGCCATTCTCTTTCTATTCTGGTTATTTCCGCTTTCTTAAATTACTTTGTCTGCGCGCTGCTATCATGAAAGCGCGGCAGAATGACCATATAATTACTGATAGCTTGCTGAAACCAATAGTATTTTGTTCCTCCCACCTCTACGTTACGTATGTCCACAAGTTAAACCGCATGAAAATTAATGTTTAATATGTCCAAAACTTAACTGATGATTGTTCGGCGGTAGGCATTCTAAAGTGCACTCATTATATTTTCCGACAATCAATAGAATTTCAACCCATTTAGACAAAGAATTGCATTAATGCGCCATTACTGTAATTTGAGACATGAAATCGCGTAGATTTGCTAATATGACATTTAGAAATCGACAAAACGTGTAGTCCTCTAAAGATAGCAAACTCTTTCTCATTGTTAGCATCAGGCAAAAAATAAATTTCCAAGTGCAGAAAGGTCTGTTTAGCAGAACGCTCTCCTTCCAAAGAAAAACCCCCACAGATGCGCAATCGAAGTCTGGAGCAGGTAGTAGTAAAGAAAATTAGCCAGATATATCGGGACGTACTTTTTAGCCTAAATTTATGAAAATGTTGTTTGAGCTAATGCGTGGACACACTTTCTGCCATGCAAACGACATTTACTTAAAGAGGCTGGTCGGGCGAGCAGAATTCCCATCGTTAAGGTCATCCAAAAATCCCCACATCAGCTTCTTCCATCAGGTTTAATGATTTGGGTCACTTACTGTGCATATTTCTGTGACGCTCGTACATGAAATCTTCTTACAGTTCCTAACCCAATATCCCTTACGAATAGTGTGAACGCCGTCGATTTATTCCATTCTGATTCAGCCGAAAAAGTAAAAAAAGCACGATCACTAAGTCTTTTATCTTTTCGCACAACAATGCCTTAATGAGACTTTATGCGATAGGTTTGAAGTAAGCTATGAAAATTTGGCTTGGTCCAATCTGCTAAAGCTATCGGGCCCTTTTTTACACATCGCTGCTTTTTTAATTTTTTTTTCAATCGTTGGAACTTTCGTGCCTGTAATTGGATTATTTCGGATTAATTTTGGGCGGCATCTCTCGCAGCTGCAGAGGCTATATAAGCTGAACTAGATAAAGTTACAGTCGACACAACTGAACGTATCATAAGAATGAAGTTTCCTTGACGGACACCAATGTGTTGCGAAATAAGACGATTACAAATCTGATGAAAATATCATGATGTTGCACAAAAGCACAAACAAGCGGCACAATAGAACCAAAGAAGCTCGAAGTCGCAATCGTTCACCTGTCAAAAGTCTCCGAGAAAATTCGAGAATCGAAGCTAAGCTTCAGAGTTAATTGTGCATTACTCGTGCCCAAACCACTAATTTGCATGTCCTGATTTTCGTGAGGTCTGTCCGTATTTAGTTTGTTCTTGCTACCCTTGTACATCCTTTCAGAAAGGCATCATGCTGTCCAGGAGTCTGCGGGCTTGAAGTAAACCTCGGGAGTCCACAATCACATAAGGCTCGATAACTTAGATCGGTCCGTATGTTCTTGTTTGTCGAATCTCGAAGTAGGGCTATGAAATGGCTGGCTGTCACTGCCTCATTTTTAAGTCCCTATTAAAACTTTAAAAAATTGTGATAATTTTGGAGCATTCATTGCAGTTTTTATAAAATACGATGGCGAACCGCGTGTTGACAACGTCGACGTTTTAATACATCATTATCGCGTCGACAGGGGCAAATGTATATTTCGGTCAGCGACTTTATATGGTCGGAGAACGAAAATGAAGTCTTCGTATCCGTGCCTTTAAAAGGAATAAGTCTTAAGGGTTGTGATGTTTTCTGTTCATCAAAATACGTCAAGGTATGTGTCATTTTCTTGGTCGTATTCGGTGTGCAACATGCTCTAGCTTGTTGGCTCGTTTTAACACACAAAAACTTGCCGATTGACAAGTTTGCGTGGGCTAATACGTGGCAATAACCCTATAGGCGTGTATCCATAAATGCACACTAACAGGAATATAGATTTATGAGTGCACTGAAGTTCCTTAGATTTGGTTTAATTCAGATAAAAAAATGGACAACCCATTTTATCTCTATGTTTTCCATTATTTTGTGGTTTGCTTTCCGTATTGCCTGTGTAGGTGGGCGAATGGTTCTTGCTAATTTTACGAAAAAATGAGAGGATTATACATGTTTTGCATAAGACTTCCAACTGTTGTTTTTTAGGTATGGAGGGCAGCCAGGCTTTGAAGTCTAAAAACTCAAAGTCTTAGTTTCTTTTATTTTATTGTTGAAAGATATCATTGACGGATTTTTTGGTACGTATATTGTTCCCCTTTTTCCGCTTGGGTTTGCCATTTGGCAGTTTCTTAAATAAAATACCGCATTTCATCATGAGGCCGCTCGAATGCGGAACCCATTAGTGTATTCAGCTGTAGCATGGCGAAACGATATTGACGGCGGTTGCGACGAGACAGTACAGTTGTGAAACTGAGCAAGACTTCTACGAAATAGCTAAACGGAAGCTGTTTCGCTCACGAACAAGCACCATCCGATCAGCAACTTCTCGGATTCCCGTAGCTACAAGAAACTTCACGTGCCGGACAGAATTAACCCTCATTCTGCTATTAGCAGTTACGTTGAGGATGATGGAGTGTGACATCTAATGTCAAGGGGACTCGCGTATTATTAAATAGACACGAGGTCGACGTGAATTAAGACACTTCTGTAGCATTATTTACGCAGGATCGGAGAAAGACTTGTCAGATATACTATTTCAAAAGCTGATAGTCCGTTATGCGGATAACATCTGCCTAGTTGATGTGCTTGCACACGACTTATGCAGCTTTTGAGGATTCAAGTGTTCAAGTCACCCATTTCATTGAAAATCATGCAAACATCAATACAATTAAACTCTAATTATCATTTCTCGAGAGTGATGACAGTGCGCTTTTAAAGCCCTTCGAAGCAAGGTAGGCTCCGAGGACTGCAACCATCACATATTAGAGGTAGTTGCGATTTCTGAATATGCGCAAAGTCAGCCGACGGAATGCAACTGTGTACAAGTGCTGCACAATAATATTTTCCAATTGCTAACAAGAAACTGGAATTTTCGAACATTTGCTCTGAGATGAAACTGCTATGCCCGCACACTACATTACACCAGTCATTTTTAAGAATCATTATTTCATGTAAAGCCTTGAGAACTGTATTTATAGGGAATGAGGCTTTATTCATTTTAAACGACTACTGTTAAGTAATTGAGGCTTACGAGCAACAGCTTTAAACGAGGCCCCTAAAGAATTTCGCCCTAGACAGCCATTTAAGCAATATCACATTTCCGTTACGCGCGCAAAGAATCATAGACGTCAAAAGGCTTCTAAAACACATGAAAGCTTTCGTCTAGACCACAATTGGGAGGTGTGTCAAACAATGAATAATTATGTCAAATACCTCACCGTGGCTGACATTTCCGCCAGCATCTATCCTCTTACTTCAAATTTTGATTTAGTTTCGACTTTAGGCATGTTGTCGTTTCGGAAAAACGTGTAAACTGAAGCTATGTGTTTAAAATAGTCAACGAAGAAGCAGAAGCTTTTGCGAAAGGCTCATACTATGCCTTTTGCTTGACGCTCATCGGGCTAGGATCCCAAAAACCTTTGTAAAGAGAAGCAATAACCCGTTTAAAGTCGTTGGGATGCTTTTTCTTGCATGCTTGGCGCAGAATGGGTCGCTTCACAGGCTCGCTGAAATAGAAATAACATGATTAATGGAGCGTGAATGCAAAAGGTCCAACCGAGATACAAAAAATGGCCTTGTATTCCGACCAGCAAAACTGTCTAAGTTTTTGTTTAAAGAACCGCACAGACCGCAACCGGTAAACTACACATTTCGACTTTCGCATTAAAAACCTGAACCCACGATTAAACTCTGACAAAGCGGTTTTTCGTTGACTTCTGTGCACATTATAGTTTCCTGACGATCAGACATAAATTGCTCGTTTTTCTGCCTCCTAAAATTTGACTCAACCATTTTTTAGAGTGAGCACTGCCTACTTTACTCAATCGATTTTTCAAGTGTATCAAACCTCTCCCGTAAGAGTTCGAACTCGTTATGCCTAACAAAGGTTTTTGGAGAGTTTTATTCACTATACGCATCCCAGAGGCGATTTATTTTGAACGCGTGCCGTGTTCACGATAAAAAACCTTACACCGAAGTACGAATAGAATAATATTCAAAACATCCATAGCACGCCATTATTGAAGACTGCCTTTGAGTCGAAGGAAACTGATCTTTCGTTGAAAGACGTAACCCTCAGAAGTTTAGTGCGCACATGTTTTAGTTTCACGAACTCTGAAACTTGAGATCTAGCAAAACAGACACCAAGAGGACGAAAATACCAAAAAGGGTTCTACGTCTTTGAGTAAAATCTCATTCGTCCGACAAACGGTCAAAACAGAGACGAGAATCTATTTTATGCGCCAGACGCTTCGTACTCACGGTACAGTGTCTCTAGAAAATATTTTTTTGCAGAACAGGGAGCTCTTGTTATCGGGTCATTCTCTGCTGGCTCAGCCGGCCAACCGACCGCAGGCGCTGTGGACTGACAGTTATACATCTGTTAACAGCCTGAAAGAAGGAGCTACGATAAGGAAGCGAATGACAGCATAAATCATTGTCCGGCTTCAGGGCGAAACTTGCATTGCCTCCGAATTCTGCTTGGAGTTGTAACTATGACAAAGTGTAACCGGATTAAAGAAAGCTTAGGGAAACCGAAAAAGTTTGAAACCAGTCCGGATGCATTCACTAAACTATCAAACTAAAAGTGAGGGATCTCTAGTTACACGAAGGCAACAATGCATGTCGCACGGGTAGATTCAAATTCTAAAAGCACCTAGTACTTGTCCATCCGAAATGGCTGACCAAATAAAACGGTATAAGCAAATTTATGTTTACGAAAGTATTTTTTGCCCACATTTTCACACGTACACTCCAATAATAAGTATTATGTGAAATCTGGCACAGAGTGGAGTGTGTAGTATCCGCCCATGCGTCTCAAAAGCTTTTTCGCCAAGTTGATTTAGTTCTATCATTTCCGCATTGTTGGAGATATAGTCGATAAAAGTTGGGGAGTATTTTGTTTGATGTCGCTGTTGACAGGTTGGCCATACCGTAAAACTTATGTGCAGTTTTAGCCGGCGTTGAAATCTATTAAGTTTCAGACTGTCCACGAAGTGTCAGCGAACACTTTGCGATTCTCGGTGTTCTCAGTCGATTACCCATTAAGATGGGCTCTATGTTATGCACTTATGAAAGCCCTTAAAATAAGATGTTCCTCGAAAGCATTTACTGAAGTAGTGGTTGCTTCGACCTTCTTTTTTATGTAGATTACCGTTTGGGCTACATTTAAGGTTGCAGACTGTAGTGAAGTGTTCAGTTGTGTGAAGGCCCATCCTTAGTAGGCTAGTATCAATAACGCCTACCGACCTTTTTCTCTTGATATACTTAAAACAGCCGCAACTATGCGGCTACATTTTAGGTCACTCTGTCGTTGACAGATGTCTGTATTTGCCGCTGTCCACCTTGGGGCAGCAAATTATTTTTCGGGACATAACAGAGTTACTTCATTGATGCTGTAAAGTCAGTCGCAGTGGACGCGGAGGGATCTAAGGGCTCTAGACAAATATTATTTCAATGGGAAAGTTCGAAGTTGAAACTGGTCGCCAAATACTTACCCACTTAACTTCCCGCCTATGTCTGCTGTAGTGTGGATGTGTGGTTCACTACTTCGCACACATATTCCTCTCAGTGGCGTTGTTCGAACGCCTGTAAACAGATATGGTTTAGTTTAAGTCTTTTAAGAGTGCTCATTTACCACGGAGAATGTTTCGAAGCATATGAAGCAGACGATTTACGACACATTATGTTAATTTAGGTGTTTTTAGATTTTTGCTCGAAGGAGTTTGCATTTGTAAGCTTTTTTAGTATCATGAACAATCTATTTGAATAACATCATATTTATTCCCGTATAAATTCTGCTTATGAAGTATACATGACAACAACAGAAAGGCTTCATAATTATTCGGCGATATGCAAACTTTTTAAAACTATCAGCTGTCATTTCTCTTAATAGAACGTTTTAAGGCGGACTTCTTAGCAAAAACAACGTGGGAAAGATGGTCTTTGTGTATGCTTTCTTCAAAATACGTCTACATTTGTAAAGGTGTTAAGAATCCACGGAAAAACGTATAATACTTGAGGATTTATTTTCTGCGTGTGATTGTTGCAGGAGACCAGAAAAACACGTGTTCACAGGTCGTCGTGCTGGTGTGGTTGAAATATTCTGGGATTGTGCAGCACAATACCCAATTTTACAACCCCATCTAGGTATCCCTTCCTAACTGATCTCATATTTCAGCATTTCAGCCAACATTTTATGTGCTGCATTGCCTACCGTAATTTCCAACCGGTTAACCTAATCTATTCTACCCACCTCTTCTAGGTAACCTTCAAACCATACCTTTTCGAGTGCGCGCTGGAAGGCAGTATTAATGTCGAAAAGAGTTCCATTGTACTGGCAAATGGCCTGGCAACATGTACTCTGCAGAAAACCTCGCCGGGCCTTTGGAAGAGGCTAGAGACAGAGCTGAAAAGTCTGTTTGTCCCTAGTGTTGAAACTGTATGTTCTAGATGACAAGGCTGAAATGACTAAAATCCGCCAGGAGGCCATTCAAGAGGCACAGGAGAGAGAAGCGCAACGTGTCAAGCAGAACAAGACTGAAAAACGAACGGGTGAGAAGGAGTCTCTGGGTGCGATGATGAAGGTACCCAATGCATGTCACTCCCCCTGTTAAGACCACCTAGATTGAAGGTCAGGAGTTGAAACGATTTGAAGCCATAAAAAAGGCGAGCACGGAGTTGGCCATGCAAGAATTGGTGGCCATTCAAGAGGAGAAGAAGAAGGCCGAGGAGGAGGTTGGTTAAAATTGGCAAATAAACTCGTTCTCGTTGACAGAAACGACGCCAGATGGAGGATGCTGTTAAATTTGCCAAGGAACTTTACGGGAAAAATCCTCAGCAAATCCATCATCAGCCCAAACTCGCACAGGAAATATTTAAGGCTAAGGAAAATGTGCCTGTTCGAGAGTGTAACACGATAAGCATCTCATTTACGCCTCGAGTTTTTCCTACACCTCAGCGTGAATCAATGGTGGCGGAGGAAGAGACGGTAACTGCAATTTCTGATTTACTCTGGGTGCCGAGATAATTTTATGCCTCTCTGCGAAAAAGTAAAACATTTGTTGAATTAGCACACTTTGACAGTTTTACTTCGATTATTCTTCAGTCTTGACCAAATTGCCTTTTATTGTGAATACGCCCAAAAGCTGCCAATAGAAGTGATGAGACGAGTTCCATAAACCAGTTGTGTAGAAGACTCGATTGCTGGAAGGAGAGCTTTATTCGCATGACTTTTTGAACTTCTGCTCGAACCCATCGAACCGGTGGTGGGTTCGGACAGGAGTCCGAAGCGTGAGGCGAATAATTCACTTCTGGCGATCAAGCCTCCTTCTTCACTGTTTAGTGTTCACAAAATGTTTGTGTCGTTTCTTGGAAGAGGCCTGACCGACTCCTTAGACGTTCCAGATAGCTGCAAGTCTGCTTTTATTTCTTTTGCTTAAAGCAATGCTTTATTCTGTCTGGTGGCTGGAAAATCTGGCAAACCATCGAAGATATCTGAGGCAAAAAGTGTGCGAAAACGCATTTAAGAATATCGACGAGCATTTAATGAGATAGGTCACTCACTGTAAGTCCATGCATACAGTGCGTGAACGATCTCATGAAATGTTCGCTGAACTTCTGGAATGCGTTTCCGATTAGGAAGGATTACTTAAGTGGGGTTGTTATACTGATTATCATGCAGCATAACCCTATAACATTTTGGACTCGTCAGGGTGTCGGCTTTTGAATGCACTTCTTCTTGACCTCCTGCAGAAACCACACTCAGTAAAAGATGACCGCTTAAGTAGCATGCAATTTTCCTATAGATTTTCGATGGTCTTATAAATTCAAATATATTTCATAAAGAACATGCACAAAAATATGCCCTCTTTTGCTCATTTGGTAGGAACTCCCATTGTTTTCATATTTTATGCCTAAAAAGCATACATTTCGGTTTTAAAAAAGTTTCCTAGTTCCCTAAGAATTTCTAGCCCCATCTGCCACTGCATCAGCGTTTAGAAATATCGCTGTTCAAGGTGCCTACTTTCCGCGTAAGGAAAATCATATATTCCTCTATGCCTTTCAGAAGATACCACCTAGAGTTAATGAAATTTCGCAATGGATCCGCACTGTGTTGTACATTTCATGAGGAGCATTAGTGAACGGACATGTGCGGTCTTGCATGCATGGACATGGCACGGTCTCAGAAGTCTCATAATTGGAAACTTTTCTGAAACCTAAATATACACTTTCTTAAGGCATAAAATATGAAGACAATGTGATTTCCTACCAAATGAGTATAAGAAAGCATACTTTTGTGCATGTTCTTTATAAAATATATTTCCATTTATAAGACCGTCGAAAGTCAATGTGAAAAATGCATGCTAATTAAGTAGTCATTTTTTACCGAGTGTGGTTTCTGCAGGAGGTCAGGAAGAAGTGCATTCAAAAGCCGACACCCTGGCGAGTCCAAAATGTTATAGGGTTATGCTGCATGGTACTCAATATAACAAAACCACTTAAGTAATCCTTTCTAATCGGAAACGCATTCCAGAATTTCGGCCAACATTTCATGAGGTCGGTCACGCACTATACGTTTTTGAGAGTGAACGCTGCTGTCTTCACAAAGTGCGCGGCTGGGTGTTCTCGCCTCTTGTTGTTTTTGGAAGAGGCTTGAAGGACTCCTTAGACGTTCCAGATAGCTGTAAGTCAGCTTTTATTTCTTTTGTTTAAAACAATGCTTTATTCTGTCTAGTGGCTGGCCAATCAGGCAGAACATCGAAGATATCTGAAGCAAAAAGTGTGCGATGGTGGGGATTTATCGGAGGCGGAACAGGATCCCCTGTGGCTACAAAAGAAAGCTAAGTAAGTCAGGCCTGGAGTCAGAAGACTGCGTGTTCGGATCACGTCGGGGTCACCAATGATGTAAAGAATAATGTTCTCACGAACTAACGAGTTATATCTCACGAGACCCTAGCCTTAAACGCACCAAGTAAAACTGAGCAGTGAATAATATAGAGATTCTGAACGTTAAGTAACCTAACAACAGAGCGCGACAGCAAAGGCGGGTTGTTCAGGTGTGCTGTTTTTCGTCACATTCAAACGAGCAATCCGGGCAAAGAAAATGGGACTAAATTGTCAAAGGTAACCTAGTCCGGTACCACACCACAGGCCTACTTCAAAGCAGGCTTCTGGCGATACGGCTGAAAATAAGCCTTGAGTACTATATCATTGCTATGAAATTTTACATTAAGTAGCAATGTGTACAGTGTCCCTTTGGCTTATCTCACTATCCCATCCTATCTCATTGAATACTAAAGAAAATACTGAAACGTACTTTTGGTTAAGAAGGATTGTTTAGGTGATCCTGTAGTGTTGATCGTCATACAGCATTGCCATACGATATTTCACTCACGCCAGGGTGCACTTTTCACATTGACTTCCTGTGGTCTTATGAATCCAAATATATTTTATAGAAAACGTGCATAAAATGGAGTTTCTTTTACTCGTTTAGGAGGGAATCAAGTTGCCTCCACATTGTATACCCGAAGAAGGAGTATATTTAGATTTGAGAAAAGTTTCCCAATCCCCGAATAATTTTGAGCCTGATCGGCCGTTACATTAGCATTTACCGATTACAGTCTACAAGTTGTATGCTTTCTGCGTAAAGAAAATCACATATTTCTCTATGCCTCCAGGAAGACGCTTTGTAGAGTTCATAAAATCTTGCAGTGGATACGGACTATGTTCTACATTTTATGAGGAGCATTAGTAAACGGACAGGTACGATGCTGTATGAATGGACATTGCACAATCTTAAAAAGTCACATAATGTGAAACTTTTTCAAAACCGAAATATAACCTTTCTTTGAGTACAAAATGTGAAGACGTGATTCTCTACCAAACGAGTAAGAGAAACCCCATTTTATGTATATTTTCTATAAAATATGCCTGAATTCATAAGGCCAACGAAAGTCAGTGTGAAAACTGCATGCAACTTATGCAGTCGTTTTTTACCGAGTGTTGTTTTCTACAGAAGGTCGATAAGAAGTACATTCAAAAGCCGACATCCTGGCGAGTCCGAAATATTATAGGACTATGCCGCATGATAAATCCACCTAAATAATCCTTCCTAACCAACAACGCGTTTCAGATTTTCAGCCAGCATTTTATGGGATCGGTCGCACACTGTATTTGCTTTCCTGATTGGTTTGGAGGTAGTGGAGGATTACTTCGTTAATTTGTGGTCGGTCGATTTGATCGCCCTACCGCGACAATTGAACAGGGAATTATAAAGGTGGTATGCCATATTACTAAACAACATGTCTGAGAGTAACGACTGATTTTTGAAATGTTTGAGGAGGTTGACGTCTGAGATCCCAATTAATCTACCTTAGAAGAGTTCGGTAGTCCTGTTCTCGGCTCTACCTAATGTTTACGTTTCTTCGGAACAGACATGATTTTTTGAGAGTTCGGGAACATTTATTGGAGAGCAAGAGATTCTAGGGATACCTGTGCATATTCTGCTTGATATCTGCGGCGCTGCAGTTTCTAGAGATTCGACGTAAGCATTTTAAGGCGTTTGAGCATGACTTAGTTGTTGACGTACTAAGGCTGTTCGGAAGTGTCTCTCCTAATGTCCGTCTGTGTGCAGCATAATCAAATCTGCGTAGAGTTCAATGAGACTTCTCGAGAATTTTGAATACAGACGGGTCATTCACAGCCACTCAGATTGTTTGTTCCAGGTTTTCACCTATTGCAGTTTGGTTCAAGGACCTGATTCCAAAGGTGGCATGCAACCTTATTTACAGGTGGTTAACAGTAACCATGTCGCAGTTTTGTCCCCAGGCTTTAAGACATTTTCTGCGACCGTTACCGTGCCAGGTCCCAGCCTCCCGCGCCCTGGTAGCAGTGTCGCTGCTGGTCCGCGACTGCTGATTGGCCAGACCCGTGAGTCCGCTTAGTTCGCAGCTCACCTTCGCCGAAGGCTGTCCCACCATCCGTCACCTGTGGTCGCGCCGGGTAACCGTCAGCTAAAATAACAGGAACCCCTCTTCTCGGCCAGTCTTATCCTACGGTTGTAAATACTAAGTCGTGCGTTTAGAAGATGAGCGGAGCTGGAAGTAGTTGTGCCCACCGCTGCTTGAGGGCCATTCTCCGAATGAAGTAAGCCGACTTCGTCTCAAATGAGGCAGTCCGCACTTGCCGCGACACTATCACGGTGATATCCAAGGTCATCCAAGAATGACGACTGAAGTGGTTTGGGCACGTTCTTCGTCGCCGTCCTCATGATCTCAGTACTGCTGGCCTCGATCGGGTGCAGTTGTCTACCTGAAGGCATCGAAGAGGGGTCAACTCAAAACCTGGTTCGATGTAGTTGGTCAAGACGTGGAAGTGGCTCTTAGACCCGCGTTCTTCGGTCTCCGTCGCTGAAGAAGAAGAAAGTAGGTTGGACGGGCTAGATCCGCTCTGGCAGACCGTCACGCGTGGAGAGGTGCAATCTGGCAAGGTCATCCTTGATCACAGTCATAAGAAGTACAAGTACAGTTAGTGACCTAACTCATGAAATGTGTGGACGTTTTCGAATGATTGCCAATCACTCGCAAACCGACGCCATTTCATGAGTCCAATGCCTATGCTAGTTAAGTACAAGTTTAAAAAGACTAAAAGCATAGAATAAATATTACAGACAGTGTTGCGTTGCTTAGGGATGCCGATTTATTTTGAAAAGCTTAATATCCCGAAAACGTCAGAAATGAATCTAATTTAGTAAACTTAGTTTTTAGTTTTATAGAATGTGTTTTCATACCAAAAACGTAGTAATAATGCAATTAGAAATAAAATAACCTTTAATAGTAGTGTTTTAGTGAAGTTTACATGTAAATATCGTTTAATTATTAGTGTGATTTCATATATGACGGGTTGTCAACTGCCTACGTTCTGAGTGTAAATTCTAAAACAGCTTTCCAGATTTATCCTTGAATATTTTGAGTTAAATGGGATGCGGTTTAACAAGAAAAACTAGATTTTGCTTGATTTCCCCGATGAAAACGTCGTAGGACCCAAAGTTTTCATAAAGTAACATGCCATGAGGCCGGTCGGTGCATAATCAATTTAAATAGAACTGACAGGCGTGATCGTAATCATACCATTTTGTGTTTATAGAGATAACTTTCTTCCGTTAAATTAATTTACACTTTTCGTTCGTTTTGGACTACGTTGAGATTCAGATCGACCTCGAAAGTTTGCTGAACACTTCATGATTTTCAGTGTTTTCACCCGATCGTCCATAAAGACAGATTTTGAATTATCTATCTGTTGAGAACTAAAAGGCATTAACCGAAGTAGTGAGTGTTCGGCTGTCCCTTTTTACGAAGATGGTCGTTTGGGTCACGTGTGAAGACTCATTCAAACATCAAACTTCATTTTCGAGAAAAATGGCTGTCCACAACAAAAGTCAGCAACGAACGTGCCTTCGAATTATAAGAAAACTGCTAAATAAATTGCCTCTTTAGGAAGTGCTTTATTACTGCGCACCGTTGACGGATCTCTGTGTACTTTGCACTTTTGCACGGCGATACCAAGTAAAAATTTGACACTTTTGGCCTTTCTTTCGCGTTCCTGAGAAATACTAATATTGTTCTATCGTAAACGTAATAACATGCCTTTCGCTATACACTGAGGCCATTTCCACTATTTTTGCTCGCTTTTAGACTCCGTTCTTCGATTATGAATGCGCGGCAGAGCGCCCATATAAATACTGATGTTTTGCTGAAGCTACTAATGTTTTGCACGTTTGATTTCAGCATAAGTTATGCACAGTAACTAAACTACACGACAAGTAGTGTTTCATATGCTCAATCTGGAAATGGACATTCGATAATGGCCATTTATGCGACATCAGGTAGAATTTTCCAAACGCCAAAACAATTTTAGGCCATTTAAACGAAGGAATTCCTATCTGCGTTATTACTCCACTGTAGGGCACCAAATCGCACAGATCTAGTAATTTGACATTGAGGAATTGATTAAACCTCTGGTTTTCTTAAAATAACCTTTGTCTGCAAATGTCTCTGATGATGGATTCGAGTGAGAATCCCGAACTTCAGGCCAATAAATTTCTTGTTCCAGTGATCGCACCTTCATCTTCTGAATAACCGTTGTGTTAGAAGGTTGATTACCACGGTTAACATTGGACATGAAATAAATTTTCTAGTTCGGCTAAATCCGTTTATTAAAACTCTCTCGAATAAATTACTATCCTTTCAATGAAAAAGTCGCTCAGATGCGTAACCGGAGCCTAGGACATGTATTAGCTTAGGAAATTGCACGAATATATTCCAACGTCCATTTTCGCTAAAATTTACTGATAGTTTACTTGATATAATTACGTAAACACAATTTCTGCTCAAAATGAAGGACATTTTAGTGAAGGAAGTAGATGAGCGAACAAATGCTCAATGTTAAATACGACCAGAAATTTTCGCATCAGTTTTCGTTATCAGATTTCATGAGATAGGTCACGTACTGTAAGTAAAAATTGAATCTACAAGAAGGACCAACTGATTTACTTCCTCCCCCTGTTAAGTGAATTTTTCGGGAAATGATATTCCGACCGTCCCTTGTCCTTGTCGGTGTCCCTTCCGCATGAGTACGTAGTTAGACATAAATAAAATGAGAAATTGCCTTGTCTCATTCAGCCATCTGTCGCAGCCAGGACCGCTCTGTTAAAAATGAAAGTTAACAGAGACGAAACAACCTTATTCAGTTATTTGCGCTCTTTTAAAACAGTCCAAGGTCTGTGTGTTCAGTCCTACGGCAAAAGGCTAGGATTTTTAAATTTTAAAGCCATATATGTGCTTGATCAAGAACAGTGCCGTCGGTATTGTGCCCATAAACACTACAAAAACGAGAAGGATTTTCTATTTGTATCGGCTAAATTTTACGATTTTATGTTTTTCAGCATGCTGTTCAAGGCTGGCGACTTTGACGCCGCTGCATTCGCATACTCCGAGGCAATAAAGCGTGCGCCGAAGCTTCCCGCGTATCCTTTTTTATACGTGACTGCTTCTGTCCCGAGAAGTCAGTCGCAACAATTCTGGCTTCAGCTTTTTTTCTGTTCATCTGTATAAGATTTAGCGCGTTGGGCCCTGCAAATGCTTCTTTTTTTCGGAAGAGTAGTCAGTATAACTGAGCTGTACACAAAAATTTCCGAGATGCTGACCGGACCTGTAGGCAGGCTGACATTTGCAAGCCTGCATAAGTAGTTTAGTTTTCTTCGAAGGGCCTAACAGGGTCAGTCGTGGAGGCATTTGTCTGGGTTAATTTTGCCGGACAAGGAAGGCAACATGCTCGTTTTTCAACAGTCCCTTATCTACGAAATATGAGTTTGAATCTACGCGTAGCCTGATATCTCCGAGTCTCTTAAGTACTCGTTTATTTTATATATAATCCAGCAGTTTATGGGCATCAGTATTCTGTTGCATATTAAAATAGGGGAAGGAGGTAAATTGTTCTCGGCAAACATCCACAAAAGGTAACTTGAGGCCTTTTGGAATATCCAAAAACGTTGGTCGCATTTCGGAAGACTGCTAGATTTATAAACATTTTGATATGGACTTCTCCATAGTTTCAGATTTAAAAGTTCAGAAGACTGTTTTCTATAAAAAGGGTTATTGGAAATAAAAATTCAAAATCCTTATTAAAAAAATTGATTTTTCTACGAAGTTGCCGGACAGAAATTCGCAGAATTTCAACCGGATCTTTTGAACAGTAAAGTAGGCTTGAGGTTGACCTCAATAATTCACTTGGGTCCTGTGTGAATCACGCTGGCGAAAAAATCACTACTTATTTGGTGCGTATTCTTGTCATCGATGCTAAAGTACTTGCATAAATTCAGACATGCTTTCCAGCACGTGTGCATTGAAAGTACATTCTTGCACTTTTTGAAGAAAACAACACTTTCAAATGTTTTGCCCTAAGAGCAATATTCATTTCAAAAGAAGGCGTGTTATTTTCAGTCTTTTTGAGACAACCGGAGGGTTGTTTGTTTAGTCTTCTACATAGTAAGTACATAGTCCATATTTATAGTAACATTTTACAGCGACAGAGGCTTTCCAAAAGCTTACCGGAAGTGCCTGGCATGCAGTTTAGGGACTTTCAGAGTAAATACGAATTCGGTAATTGCATAATATACACGCGGTAGTAAACCTTGTAGGACCCAAATAATCTCTTTTGGAATCAAACATTGTAAAGGACGTAATGTTATAAAATTAGTAGAGGAACAAATGTTTCCTGCCTCTCTTGCGGAAAAAACACTTTGACTAGCCCAAACGTTGAAAATACTTAGGAAAGTGAGCACTATTTATGTATGGATATTTTACCTTATGTTCACGCAGGTGGTTAGAAAAAGGTTTACCTGAAAACGAACATACTGTCACATACGATTAGGCCTAAAGCTATTTTTTTGTTAATCAGCATCGAGGTCGCCATCAAGTAGTATATTTCATCCAAAGGATGTTTAGAAATTTCTGGTTATTTTGTACAAGGTTTTGCTGACTCCACATACAGTAGGTGGTCTAACACGTGAAATGTCCACCGAAATTCCGAAATGCGTCTTCGTTTTGAAAAGATTAATTAAGAAGATTTGGAGAAATAATCCTCAAGCAGCATAATTCTATAATAATTTAGTTACCCAGGATGCCGGCTTTCGAACGAACTTCTTTTCGGCAGCATGCAAAAGCCATACTTTGTAAAAAAATGACTACTTAAACAGCATGCATTTTTCTCAGTGATTTTCGATGCCCTTAAAAAGTCAATTATATTTTGTGGAAAACATGCGTAACAATATTTATTCTTTTACTCATTGGGTAGAAAATTACATTTTCCAATTTTATGCTCAAAAGAAGGGTATAATTCGGTTTCTAAAAACTTTTCCAATTTCCGATTAATTTTGAACCCGCTCTGCCGTCACACTTGCATTCAGGGTTTCCAAACTACAAACCACATATTTTCCGCGTACGGAAAATCATACGTTTCTCTATGGTATTGAGTGGACACCATATGGAGTTCATAGAATTTTGCAGTGGCTTTGAGCCATGCTGTTGACTTTAGGAGCCACGTTGGTAAATGCAGAGATATGATGTTTTATGAACGGCCATTTCACGGTATTTAAAAGTCCCACAATTAGAAACTCTGTAAAAACCGAATTATACCCTTCGAGTATAAAATTTGAAGAAGACGTAATTTTCTACCGAACGAGTAAAGGAATAAATATTGTTATGCATGTTTTCCATGAAATGCAATTGGATATTTAGGGGCATCGAAAATCAATGAGAAAATTGCTTGCTACTTCAGTAGTCATTTTTACACAGTATAGTTTCTGCATGCAGCCGAAAAGAAGTTCATTCTAAGGCCGGTATCATTGCGAAACTGAATTATTATAGAATTATGCTGCTCGATGATTAGTTCTCTTAATCTACTTAATTAATCTTTTCAAAGCGAAAACACATTTCAAAATTTCGGTTGACATTTCATGTGTTAGACCACCTACTGTATATGCATGTTGGAAAAGAATTGTTTTTTTCACGACTGACAGGCGGAATGGACGGAGAAGATTTTTCATCAAAATCCATCAACTTGAGATGTGTCAATTAATTTAGGTTCACGCTCCTGGCTTATCTGTCAGGCCTGACGGACTCACGAGGGTCCTGTCAATCAGTCGAAGCCAGCGCTGCGTGAGGTCAAGCATGAAACAGTCTAAAAACAATGCCAACATTCTAGGGTCCGTCTCAGGGGAAATTGGTCGGTCCATTTCCTGCCTGCACGACACGCATCTTCCCTTTTCGAGCATTTCTTAAGACAGCAAAGTGTTTTTGGCTTTTCACATGCGTCTAGGGTTTCCCAATAGAAAGTTAAAGGCTTTCCATGCTGTGAAAAAGCATACTATTCAGGTGGTCTTTGTTTGTGCGTATGGTTTTACAGACGGCCGGACTAACGCGTAGTAGATGTGTCATGTCTTGAAATGTTAACTGCAATTCTGAAATGTGTTTTTGAGTGGAAGGGATTATTAAAGTAGGGTTGTGATACTGATCATCGCGTAGCATAATCAAAATACATGACAGCCACACGGCCTTTGCAAGAGCTTTTATGACCGTTTGCAAAAAAATACTTAATGAGGAAGTGACCACTCAAGCCGCATGACGTTTCTTATTTATTTTCGATAGTTTTATAAATTTAGTTGTATTTTACAGAAGACATGTACCAAATATTCGTTCCTATACTTATTTGGTGGTACATTATGTGTTTCTCAAACTTTAAACTTGAAGAAGGCGTATCTTACGGCTCTTAACAACTTTTCTATCCCTCAATAATTATGAACCTGTCCTGTCGTTGTACTTGCATTCAGGGTTTTCTAACTACACTCTGCGAGAAAAATCACGTAATTGTGTGCCCTGATAGAAAGACGCCATATGGAGCTCATAAATTGTGAAACGGATGTGGACAGTTTTATATAAGTTAAAAGCAGTATCAATACAAAATCGGATACAATGACTTGCAGATAGACATTTTACATTGCTTCCTACTCAGCACTAGAACGAGTATTTTTTGCACGTTTTCTTCAAAGTATATTTAAATATGTAAAGGCGTCTAAAATCAGTAGGAGAGATCCGTTTTACTTAGGTACTAATTTTGTAAGGTTCGTAGGTTTTGCAAACGGCCGTAAGAGATTTCATTCAAAAGTCGGCATCCTGATGCGACCGAAATATCCTGTGACAACGCCGTACGATAATAAGTCTCGCGGCCCTGCTTAAGTACCCTTTTCTAATCAAGGACACGTTTTGGAATTCCAGCCCGGCTGAAATATCTTGAGATTAGCCTGCGTGATAATCACTATTGCAACCTAACCGAACAAAACTTTCTAACCGAAATACATTTTCAGAAATTCGCTTAGAGTTCCACGGGACACGCCACCTACTGTACGTTTATTTCAACTGACCATATTTTTTTGCAGAAGCAGTTGCACTATTCTTCCCTAACTTGCCGCTCGCAAGACTGTATTCGAACCGCGCAGCGTGTTACATTAAAACACGGAACTTCTTCAAGGCCCTTGAGGACAGTTCTGCCGCACTGGATCTTCTTCAGCCTCCGGTGCCGCAGAACCTTCGCGCGCGGGTGCGCGCCCATGTTAGACGCGCGGTCGCCTTCTGTAATCTCGAAATGCTCAAAGAAGGTAATGGCCTCTCCCCCCCACCCAGAATGAGCACGTTTTCTGCCAATAAATTTGTCCCGACGCCCTGGCGACGGCGGTGGCGGGGACTGTTGTCTCTTTTTAAAGTCTGTTACTGGTCGATTATTTACTATCCCCCTCCCCGTTACTACATCCTGTAAAAATGACTGCTTGCGTGGCATGCATTTTTCTCATTGATTTTCTATGCCCTTAGAAAGTCAATTGTATTTTATGGAAAACATGAATATAAATATTCATTCTTCTGCTCATTCGGTAGAAACCTAATTCTTCTTTCAATTTGATACTCGTAGGAAGGATTTAATTCGGTTTTAAAAAAACGTTTTCAATTCCCGAATAATTTTTAACTCGACCTGCCGCTGCACTTGCATTTAGGGTTTCCAAACTACAAGCCGTATATTTTCCGCGTGCAGAAAACCGTAAATTTCTCTATGCTATTCAGAGGAGATCATATGGGGTTCATAGAATTTAGCAGTGGATTTAAGCTATATTGTAAGCTTTGAAAGCAACGCTAGTAAATGCAGAGGCGTGACGTTTTAAGAAGGGCCTTTTAACGGTATTAAAAAATCTCACAATTAGAAACTTTTTCAAAACCAAATTATACTCTTCCGTCGAGTATAAAATTGAAAGGAGACGTACTTTCCTACCGAATGAGTAGAAGAATGAATATTTTTATGCATGTTTTCCATGAAATATAATTGACGTTTTAAGGGCATCGAAAGTCAATTAGAAAACTTGCATGCTGTTTAAGGAGTCATTTTGTACATAGTGTCGTTGCTGCATGCAGCCAAGAAAAGTTCTTTCGAAAGCCGGCCTCTTGGGATAGCTGAATTGTGATAGAGTTATGCTGCACGATGATTGGTTTTACAACCCTACTCAATTAGTCTTTTCGAAACGAAAACGCATTTCGGAATATCGGTTGACATTTCATGAGTTAGCCCACCTACTGTAGGTACGCCTGCTGATATATTCTCAATTCAATCAGTTGTCTTCTGTGGCTGCTCTTTTTAGGCATTCAAGAATACGAAGCCGCGGCCAAGCTCGACCCTTCCGATGAGTCAATTAGGCAGGACCTGGAAAATTTGAGGGAGGCTTTCCTCAAACCACAGAAGACTATCGCGACCAAATAATCCCCTCTGGACGTCCAACTGCCTTATTACTGATTACCTTTTGTGTTGACTGTTAGGGCCCTCTTCTCGGCACCTTTTTTCATACACAGGGGTGTCTTTTTTGCAAATTTTTGTCCAATTAGGAGGATATGAAGAGGCGGATATTTTATCGAGGGCACCGCGTACCGTTATTACCTTCATTTAGGATTTTGGACAAAGTCAGATTATCAACCGGAAAGCCCAGTTTTTACAAAGGGAGGGTGAGGGGCTAGAATAGCCACATTGAGGACGCCCCCGAGTCTCCCAGCCAGCGCATGTTTACGCGAACAGCGGTCTCATGAGTGTACAACTGGCACCCCGAAAGTTAATTTGGAGAACAAGGTGGACTAATTTAGCCAGCAGTCAAACGCATAAAAAATTGTCTGTTTCGTAACTCCCCAGTAATAGCTAGGAAGAAGTGAAAAAAGTAGCCCTAGCAGTGAACGGTATTGCTGTTAAGAGAAAACAAGATAGGAGGGATCATCAGAGAAAATTCTTGGATTCCGAGAAGTCTTACGAAGACATGAACAGTGGAACAGCCGTCTGTCATCATCGGTCAGTGATGTCCAGACTCCAAATCTTCACGTTTCCGGGTTTACGACCTGAGAAGGTTGCTCATTCTGCACCGTCCTCACCACTGCACATCCTCTGCATGACATACAAGCTCAAGAACATTATAAGTCTGTCTTCCCTTGGTGGCGAGGGGTATCACTAAAATACTGCATCTGACGTAGCTAGGTTTTTGATTAGGTCTAGTTCCCCTCAAGTCGTTAATCAACATCCATTGCTGTGATCATCGAGTTTGCCGGATGGAAGGCAGCCAATGTTCTCAAAAGAAACTGAGTTATGGGGGGGGGGTGGAGCGTTGCCGGCGAAAAATGGTTTCCATGCTATCAGTCCAGCATTAGAAACTTGCTTTCAGCTCCTAGAGACCTTGATAGGTGGTCTTTGCCTACGCGATCTCCCTGCGGAAGGGTAGGAGCTTGCGCCCAAAGACTAAGTCCGATGTCAGGACCCCAATTTATCTTCTGCTACAGCCGATGTCGCTGACTATCCAAGTCAAACACGCAGCGGAATTTAAGTCCTAGGCTAAGTCCTTCGGCCTTATATAAGACGAAGATGCTGTAGCCTTGCCCACGGAAGTAACGTGACAAGCGGTTAACACGAAGAACGCGAGACTCAGTATAGTTTAGGACTTAGAACGTCTCAACAGCATCTTCCCTGACATACAATTTACTATGGAGGAGGAAGAAAATAACCAGCTGGCATTCCTTGATGTCCTCGTCTGTCGCAAAGATTTTGGTGACCTAAAGACCAAAGTTTTCAGAAAAAGCGACGAACACGACGCTAATACTGAACTTCAACAGCAACCACCCAATCATCCACAAACGCAGTTGCGTAAGAACGCTATATCGGCGTGTTGAGACGCACTGCAGTGAACCGGAGGACAAGGTTGTCGAATCCTAATATCTTCGACGGGTTTTCAAAAAAATGGTTACCCGCGCAACTTCGTCAATCGGTGAATGCGCAAACGAGACGAGCGAAAAAATCGTGTCGACCCCAAATTCTGGCAAGCGATCCCGTACACCAAGAACGTCTCCGAGACCGTTAGTAGCCTTTTCGCATCACTTGGGGTTGGAGTTGCACACAGACCGGAGGCCACCATAAGGCTTCAGGTGGTGAGACCAAAAAGCCCACTGCCACAGCAAGAAACATCTGGAGTTGTTTACCGGATCTGGTGCAGATGGGGACAAAGCAACTACTTCGGAGAAACTAGAAGACTTCCGGACGCGAATTGCCCAACACGCGGCAGCGGTACAGAGAAATGACGCCAACTCTCAGGTCGCGACCCATTCAACGAGACCTGGCCACACAGTCAAGTTCGATATGGCCGAAATTCTCGCGAGAGGGGATAATCGCGTGAGCCGCAAATTGCTTGCATCCTATAAATACTACAACTTCCTGTGCACGAATCACCCGCATCTGTCATTGTCTCTGATGATGGGTCCAAGCGAGAGCCCGAAACGTCAGGCGAATAAAGCCCTTGTTCCAGCGATCGTTTCTACTTCCTATCAACTAGGTCCTGGAACTCGCATCTTTGCTTCTATCGGCAGCTTAGCAGTGCCTCCAAGGCAGTAGGCGCTCAATGAGCCGTGAAAGGTTGGATTATTAACCTGCCACCTACTCGCCTAAAGTATGTATAGACTTACAGTTAGTGACCTATCTCATGATATGTTGGCCGAGATTCTGAAATGCGTTTTAGATTAGGAAGGATTACTACGGTGGAGCTGTAGTACTGATTATCATGCGGCATAATCCCATAATGTTCCGGACTCGTCGGGATAGTGGCTTTTGGCAACACTTCCTTTTGACCTGTAGATCCACAGTCTGCAAAATATAATTACTTAATTAGTACGCAATTTGCACATTGATTTCGATGGTCTAATAAACTCAAGTATATATTTATCGAAAACATATGCAAAATATGTTTTCCCATACTCATTTGGTAGGAAATCATGTCTTCTTTATATATTCTATTCGAAGAAAGGGTGTATTTGGGTTTTGAAAAGTCCTCTTATCCCCGAATAACTTCGAGCCAAATCAGCCGTTGCCTTATCGTGTAGCGATTTCAGTCTGCAAGGTGTATACTTGCTTCATTGAGAAAATCACATATTCCTCCGTGCCTTTGAGAAGGAATCGTGTGGTGTTCATGAAATTTTGCAATAGGTACAGACTGTGTCGTAGGCTTTTTGAGCAGCATTAATAAACGGGCATATAGGATGCTGTATGAATCGACATTTCACAGACTTGAAAAATTTCCTGATTGGAAGCTTTTTGAAACCGAAAGGTACTTTTTCTTCAGGTATAAAATACGAAAAAGACGTGATTTGTCACCGAACGAGTAAAAGAGCAGAATATTTTCACTTGATGTGATCCCGACCGGTCTTTAATAAAAAATATTATCATCATTATTATTAATAACGAAAATCCTATCGAGCGTGTTCGATCAATCTTTCGTGAGTTTTGTGGAATACCAAGTATTCGGCCAAGGAATCGAAGAATGCAGTATAACGGAAACGGTTGAAGTACACTCCGTATATAATTACGAACATTTTGTAGAGATCTGGAATCTAACCGTTCTCTCTAAGGCTTACAACATATACCAATAATAAATCATTTTCGGGCCATTTTGCGGAGTAGCTCCGTCACTCTGTTTGGATAGTCGAGGGACCAACAACCTCCAATCACGACACGCCTTACGTGTTTACCGATCCAATAGGCCTGGGTTCAAGCTCCAGTTTTGCCGGCACCCGGAACTATGGGATCATCGGCTGACGACTGCAAATAGGTCGACAATAGTTATTATAGTTTTCCCTGTCCTTATCGGAAACACTAGTCGATTGTCGAATTCTAGTCGCCATGAGGCCGCCTGCGTGGAATCTAAATCCGAAACTCCAAGATAAAACGAAAATGCCCATTTCTCTCCTATAATCAGGACGCATCGACAAGTGCCACCCGGATGGGATATTGCATGTATCCATTTGAAGCCGACAGGATGCAAGCCCGGTCTCACAGGCGAACCCGGTAGAACGCCGGTATCGTAGGTGAACTCGGGGATTCCCCTGAGGCGTGTCAGCTCACGGTTTCAGGGGATCACTGGTGGATGAAGCAAAGCAAGTCAGAAATGGCCATGGCAATCACCACTGACTTTGTCAACAGCAATTCTCTGTCAAGGTTATCATGTCGAAAACGGATCGATATCCTGTCTTCCCTGTGAACGAGTTCATATGACTGTTTACTGTTACACAGACTTCTGCTTTTCCGCCTTTGCTTAAGAAATCCGCATTGTCCGACGGAAATTAAAGCGACAACTCCCCGCGAAGCATTTACACAACTTTTGGAGTCTTTAGGCCTTTTCAGTCGGGGCTGGAATTTGCCTACCGTAGATCGAGCTTTGTTGCACGCATACTGCTTACAATGCTTTCCAGTTTGAAATTCTGGAAGGAAATATTCGAAAGACAGTTTCATCTTTTTACTCAAATTATCCTCATTTCTCTTCAAGTACCTGAATGCAGGAGGACCTAACAGTTCCTCGCTATGGAAAATATGATTATGTATCGACACCCCTTCCCTTATATTCTCACACTCTTAATCGCCAGTCATATTCTGCCGGTCCGAAAAGTGGTCCTTTGAATTCCCTGACAAACGTTCTCGGTTGGAAATGAAGGCCCTCTCCTCAGGAATAAGTGGGAAAGCAGAAGGTATGACGAATTAGTGGTCCTCTGTTGTCGAACATGCACAGCGGACCCTGGTATGCGCGTCCCACCACATAACCGAACATGAATGGGTACGAGAGTCTAGCTTTGAGTCCGCTCGAACATGGGTGTGGATCAGTAACCAAAGGCTCAACGCATAGATCAGGCTTGTGAGTGGACACAGTCACATAAGATATCTCCGTCGTTTACCGATTCCCAGTCACAGAAGAAAACGTCCGGACCGACTTATCCTGTGATATGCATGGTTGAGTTCATGCTACAGCAGCGTGGCTTGAACGAATGAATACTCGCACCGAATACTACACCTGGGCTAATAGGGCCCTACAGATGCTACGCAATCGTAGTAAGTAGCGATTATTATTTATTCTTTGATGCAAACTGCGGACATACGAAGACTGAACGGCCATCCCAAGGCGTAAATCTGTTTGGTTATGTGAGCTTTGTATTTCCATAGTCTGTACTGAATAAAGGAGGACAATTGCCACGCCTTTAAATACGAAGAGTAGACTTACTCAGTAATTCATGGGGATGGCGATTCAATTCCTTCACTGGGAGCAACATGGACAAGCGGAAGAAGTCATCTATTTATCCATTATAGTACTACTGTAATAGCTATGAGTGCTTCGAGTTGACAATGTCTTGCCTCCTAGTCCATACTCTCTTTAACTCTTCAAAAAGAAACTGATATCTGCTTGATCGTTTGACTCACTCGATAGCCGGAGTTCAGACATGCTTAACCGGTTTCGGTGTCACAATGATGGACTGAAGGAACAACGCGAACGTCCTCAACACCGCCATCACATGGAGGCCAAAGTCCTGTCGCGTGCGAAGATGGTGGGAACTGTTGGAAGGAGTGATATGACCTTCCTCACAACTGGCCAGGAACACTCAGCCATGCATCTCGTTGAAAAAACCTTTCCCTTCTGGTCGATCAAGTTTCGTCCAAACGGTCATCACGGGAATTGACATATCCTGTTTCTTCTTTGGCTTTGTTCCTACGAAGAGGTCTGGAATTGAGCAGGTGATATCGCTCTTAAACTCGAACAGCGCCGTACGTCATCAAGTCGTATTGACGAAGCAAATGCTGCAAGCAGTGTCTGCCAAGCCTATTTAAGGCATCGCAAGAAGGTTTATTGTGGGAAGATCCATGCGGTCGGAGAGATTATATTGCTTCGCGCGTTCTTGAGGCGCCTCAATCATCAGACCAAGCCCCGACTGTCAGAAGAAGATGGAAGACACCAGAATGTGTACAGAACTCAGAGTTGCTGTCGCAAGCGGAAGCGGCTATAAACAGGACCAGGGCTTGTGTTGACGGTACCCCTAAAACGGGCCACGCGGTAGATGCATATAGAAATGTATGATTTTCAGTACAAGGAAAATATACAGTTTGTAGTTTTGAAACCCTCACTGTTAGTGTAACGGCAGGTTCGGTCAAAAATTAGTCGGGAATTGGAAACATTTTTCAAAATCGAATCGTACCATTTGTTCAAGTATCAAGTTTGAAGGAGATATAATTTCCGACGAAGTGATTAAAAAATGAATATTTTTATGGATTTTTTCTATGAGATATATTTGAATATATTAGGGCATCAAAAGCCAATGAGAAAAATGCATGCTACATAAGTAGTCATTTTTTTTACAGGGTTTGGTTTTTACAGGATGTCGGAAAGAAGTTCATTCAAAAGCTGGCATCAGGAAGTAATTTAATTATCATGGGACTGTGCTGCATGACGCTTAGTGTTACAACCCTCCTTAAGTAGTCTTTCCGAGTCGAAAAGGGTTTTCAGGATTTCGGCTAACATTTCCTCAGTTAGAGCATCTACTATAGGTGCTGCTTTTCGTCCTGTCAGCCACCTGCACCCTCTCCCGCCTCCGATCTTCTTGCCTTGACCATGATACCGAGTCCAGATAGAGGCTGAGGAGAGATTGCGGTAGATGTTGCGTAAGCCTACTACCACTATGGATTAAATCATGCGAAAGTCATCGTCCTTGCTCTCACCCTACTATGGAGCACACGGTGGAGATCGTCAGTCACGACCGGCGAATGGTTGTGTGTGTGTGTGTGTGTTTTGAGCCCCTGTGGAGGTACAGTAGGTGGGCTAACTCATGAAATGTCAACCGAAATTCCGAAATGCGTTTTCGTTTCGAAAAAATTAATTAAGTAGGATTGGAAAACTAATCACTAAGCAGAATAATTCTATAATAATTCAGTTACACCAGGATGCTGGCTTTCGAACTAACTTCTTTCTGGCAGCATGCAAAACTATACTCTGAAAAAAATTATTACTTATTTAGCATACATTTTTCTTATTGATTTTCGATACCCTTAAATATTCAATTATATTTCATGGAAACCATGCTTAAAATATTCATTTTTCTACTCATTCGGTAGACAGTTACGTCCTCTTCCAATTTTATACTCAAGAAAAAATCTAATTCGGTTTTCAAAAAGTTTTCCGATTCCCGAATAATTCTGAACCGACCTGCCGTTACACTCGCATTCAGGGTTTCAAAACTACAAGCCGTATATTTTCCGTGTATGGTATTAAGTGGACACCATATGGGGTTCATAAATTAAGCAGTGGATTTGAGTCATGTTGTCAACTTTACGAGACAGAAGTCAGTTGAGTAGCTGCAGATAAGCGCGTCTGGGTCAAGGTGGTGTCGTTTGCAGCAGGAGCTTTTGCGGTGAAACTGAGTGCCCTTAAACTTTTGAAGTCCCGAAGCAAATAATGTGATTATGACAGTCGGTCACAGCTCCCAGACAGACGGATAGGGTCAGTACAAGGTGACCGGGCATTGGCCTTTTCATAAAAAAGGACTTCTCTATGTCCAGTTAAGGACGACATTTTGTGATGGTTATGCCCAGTTCTTGCGTTTATGGCCAGAAGGAGGGTCATATGGCCGACTACTTCATACAGTAATGGCGCGGAAAAGGGAACACCGAAGAGTGGACTAGCCTGCTCGAAAATTCGTTCGCTATTTAAAATGCCAAAAACCTTACCTCTGTCCAGTAACCGACCGCCATAACTGCGCCTCCCGTCGTCTTTGTTCAAAACCTCGCTGCGTCAAGGTTACTAGGCCTTCGTAAATTGTCTGACCGACACAAGTGCGAACGCACGCATGCGCACCCTGGCAACCTGCTTGTCTCATGTAATCCAAATTCCACTTGGACACTCGACACTTGAATTGCCCATCCTCCCTCGGTAATTCAACCGTCGATAACACCGGCTGCACAACAAGTGCATGCAGCACCGGAGACTTGTGCCTGAATTTTTTTATAGTGAAGGGAACAGACTGGCGCGTAGTCTACCGCACTCTCTATCCTTTTACCATGCTTGCTCCGATGGCAAGACGATGTATGGAGGTGGATCCTGAGCCACCCAAAGTGGCCTCGCGGCTGACCCAACACGGGGTCTACATTGGATTCTGGCAAGCTTTATCGGGAATGTGCGCCATAACAAATACCAACACGCTGGGTGCAGAGCTCGGTCCAGCTACCGATCCACGTCGCGCCAACTGGGATCCCTACCGTCCCCCATTGTTGTTGTTGGTTAAAATCCTGGTCCAGTGTTTGTTGTGGACTAGTGTGTGTGGAGTGGTACGCCTAGGTGCGGGTCCGGCCGCGCCGTCCACTTGCGCCCTCCCTCGCCTCCGGTCTTCTTAACTAGGTTTTGACACCAGGTCCAGGTGGGGAAGAGGAGGAGGAGGAGGAGGAGGAGGAGGAGGAGGAGGAGGGAAGAGTGCGGCAGATTCAGCGCCAGTCTACTCTCACCATAAACTAATTCACGCGTAAGTCCCCGTGCTTATTTCCCCTTGCTGTGGAGTACACGGTGGACATCGTGGAGCACGACGGTCGAACTTTCGGAGGTGGGTCCAGGCTGACAAATCCAATTAGCCTGCCTGCGCCTGCCGCAGATTTCGGACCTGGCCTCTACAGCATGTATCAGAATTTCACTAGGACAGCCCTGATCTCGCAGGGGTGTGATTGCCTTTGATTTTACATTACGGAGAAACCTCTGCAGCCTGACTGTGTCCTGAGAAAATCCAACTTATCCTGTCATTTGTCAACCTTCTACGCCACGACTTTTAGCGCGTCTAAGCGTCTCGTGAGGATAGATTCCCCTATGCTGGTCTCACTCACTCATTCTCTCTTTTTTCTCTTATGCAGCGCTCGGCTGTTCGTACCTATCAAACAACTGGTGACAGGATTGGAAGCACTGGCTGCCGCCTCACCTCACAGGATTTGCGTGATCTCTGCGCAGCCTGATTAACGCGCACCGTGAGCCAAGCTGATCCTCGTTTTGATCCGACAAGTATACAAGGCGGCTCATTGTGTAGGCAAAAAACGCATACAAGCAGCCTACTTCATGGCCTTTTTCTGTTTTTTTAAGGCAAGATTTAACCCAGCCTGGTCTCGTCAGAGCCCGCTGCTGCTGCCGCTGCCACTCAGGATCCTGTAGGAGCTAAATCCGCCCCCCCCCGTCCAAACTGGGACTTGGACTTCTGACTGCAACCTTGCTTGAAGATGACTTTGCCGGCAATCATGACGTTGATGCTGGCGGCGGCAATTGTGGCAGCTCCTGATTATGATTCGTTAAGACAGCCGGGGATGTTTCAAGCCATCATTCTCTAGGAATGCCCCAATTTGCGAGCCAAGTCGGCGGCATTGCTAAATCCCACTTGGCCGCACGGCCAAAATGTCCAAGCGTTTCATTACTATGAGCTTTTAGGTTGTTTTCTTCCTTGACGTAAGGCAATAGCCGCGAATTCACTGCACGTTGTTTAAACTAAAAGGACCCTAAGTGCGATTTACTTGACTATCTGATTCCGTGGGGACATACTTCTCCTGACTGCATGAGTGAACCCGTCTTTAGACGAAGTATTTTTCAACTTTCTTGGGATATTTTTGTAAAAGTTCCAATGAAGGTAATTGCTGATCTTTTCTTTTTCTCTATGACGCTAATCACCCATTCTTAGAGATTTGGAAAGAGAGTTCGAGACAGAAGAAACGGAGTGTCGTTTAAGTCCAGGTTCGATGTGAGCAGGTGAGAAGGCCTGCTTGTTAATAGGACATGAGGCGAGACCACTTTTGTTTAATAATGCAGGCACTTTCGGATAATTTAAACAGATCGAGTCGAATGCACGCCGTCCTGCCGTTCCGACATCCGGGAGCAAGGCTCCTAGTCAAACCCACCCAGACTTCTGGAAAAAGTCATCGCACTGAACTGCTTATAAGGCCTATGTGCGTTCATGTTATCGCCTGGGGCAGTCTCCCTGTTGTGTCATGTACTTTCGGCGATTGTAAGTACCTTTTATTTTATGAACATTTTGGGCACTCGAAGATATTTAGTTCCTATCGGGAGGAATATAGACCGACAGAAGTTAACTGGGTAGGCATCGAGACGGGCGAGAATTTCAGAGGGGAGAGATGGTATGCGAATTTAAATCCGCATGTTTTATTTATGCGATAAAGTAAGTTCGCACTCCGTAAATTAGAGCACCTGTGGTGCAGGTCAACGTGTGGTCCAGGGAAAATTAAAACCGCCAACTTGTCCCGTTACTTGAATGGGCAGTTTTTTGAATAAGGCAAACTGAAATCTACGATCCCCAAGGAGGGGGGGTGGGCAGGGGTGTGTTGACCTTGTTTTTTGACTGGCAGCCAATAGCATGGCCTCTCTGTCGTAGCAGCCATCAATCCGACGTTCTGGAGATTATTGAGTAATATAAAAAAAAGATTCACCGTGGAGTTAGAAGTTAAGGAGTTCTAAAGAATGAAAACTGCTCAAGAGACGCATACGGGTAGGTTCGCCAACGTTTACGAAACCCAAGTCGAGTGTCAACTACACCTGGAGGGCAAACTTCCCATGATGCACTTTTCCTTCGGTGCCGCTGGAGATCGTTGGGCCTGTTAAGGGTCGCAGTACGAGGTCTCTAAGTCATCAACTGATGAAAATTCTTACTTCTTTTGCTAATTATTTTGGCGGAACTTCTTTCCATAGATGACCAATAGGGTCATCTGAAGACAAAACCCTTATGGTGTCAATAAAAGGGGCTCCTCGGAGAGTAGAAAACTGCATTACAGTGTCTTCGACATGAAAAGACGTTTTAACGAAATCAAGTAAACAGGTGTCAACAAAATCACTGGAGAACTCTTCCTTAGTGAACGCATTTTTAACAACCGTATCTGGCCTATGTCGTGAAATGTTAACAGAAATTCTGAAATGTTTTAGATTGGAAGCGTTTACTTTGTTGGTGTCGCAATATTGATCATCGTCCAGTATAGTCAGAAAACGTTTCAGGCATGCTCGGACGGCGGTTTTTGAACGAGATTCTTTGTGGTCTTCTGCAACAACAACAACGCAGAATGAAACAATGCCTGCTCAAGTGGTGGGAATTTTCCCCATTGACTTTTGATATCCTTGTAAATTCAAACGTAGTTTATGGAAAACAGGCAGGAAAATATACTTTCTGTTAAAGAGTTGGCGCGAATTACGTCTCCTTTAAATTTTATGCCTGGAGAAAGGATGTCTTTCTAAGTGTAAAGCTTCCTATGACCGTGAAATATTCCTTTATACAGCATAACGCCTGGTTGTTTATTAATGCCGCTTATGAGATATAAAGCATAGATTACATCCATTGCACAATTCTATGAGCCATATACTGCGTCTTCTTACTAACGCAAAAATATATGATTTTTTACACGGAAAGTATAGGTGTGTGTCTGGGAGTCATAAGCGAGGCGCGACTGCAGGCCCGGTTCAAAAAAATCCGGTAATTAGGAAAGCTTTTTAAACCGCAAATAATCGCTTCTTCGAGTAGGACATTTAAATATGACGTAGACTTCTTTTCAATGAGCACCAGAAAGTTTATTTTATGCGTGCTTTTTTTACAAAAACACACTTGAATTAATAAGGGCATTCAAAAGCATTTGGGAAAATTCATACTGCTTAAGAAAACATTTTTACCCAGCGGGATTTCTGCTGGTGGCCGAGAAGAAACCTATTCATGAACTCACATCCTGAAGTGACTGATATACCTATGGTTGGCTGAATGAAGGTAAAATAAATCCGAAACAGTACTGTGTAAATCTACCCACTTTCTCTGTCGTTCCTCTTCGCTGATATATATAAATATATAGGGATTATTCTGCACTATGGCCAGTATTACGACATCACCTAAATAAGCCTTTCAAATTCAATAAAAATGTCCGAATTTCAGTTAAAATCTCATGAGATAGGCTAGTTGGCGTATCTCAGGAGTTATAAAGTCTTTTTGTCCACATTTGATGGTCTTTGTTTTCCACCCATCCTTATGACACTGTTCAGAATCCACCACGACAGATCTCCCCAAACAGTCTTATAAGACCGTTGGTTATTAATAACACCTCCTATAAGTTCATTCCTTTGGACATTGAGCGTGAAAATGAGAACACTTTTTTTCTAAAGTCGAGAAAAACATTTGCATAGATAAATTTACGAAGACCACAGAAATAATTAGGGCTTTCTAACCGTTAGCTGTCGCCAACTTCAAGCTAATGTAGTCGCAGTTGATAAAAAAGTCTTTAATTTTAGGAAACTAACAGAGAACAAAATTCAATTTAATTTGTTTAGGTGTTACTTTCCCCAAAATAAATGTCAGCAATGACTACCAGTTTATCTACAGCTACGCTCATCAACATACTTGTATATTTACTTCTTACAATCATTTGTATCCGAATCTTGTTGTTAATGAGAGAAATGGCATCGGAATTCTCTCTTTACCTCGCCTGCTTAGAGAGCCGTTTCGAAATGCACATCTACCTGACGCCCATTCATGAAGTTTTACGCTGGCGGGTTTAAGAGCAAGCAAAATCAGCCGTAAATCAATTCCAGGCTTTTAACAATTTTAACCAAGTTACTGTCTTCTCTTGCAAGCAGTGACATGGAAAGCATTCTAAGTGGCAAAACATCTTCCGCATGCGTTCAAATATAAGTATGACACCTCGGCATACCACCGGCCCACCTGACGTTCACACGCTCAGTAAATATATAGCTACTATTGGCTTATAGTAAGTAGCACATATTTATGCTGTATAATATGGAGGCATGGAACTCCCACCATGGGAAAGTGGTAGGTCTCCCGTTTTCTGGCCGTTTGAGTTCCGTGCTACCATCGTTTCTATAAAAAATAATCGGCGGTTGTTTGCGAATTAAGTTTTTTTCTATTTTCACCTACCGTAGATCAGGCGTGTTGCCATGCATATAGGCCTGTTCAGTAGGAAGCACTCACGATTTCGCGATTTCGAGAACAACTTCAAGGGCGGCCGAAATTTACGAAATTATGGATAGGTTTGTCTGACTGATGAATTTGTCGGCCGAAGGGCTTTTTCCCCTAATGCCGACATGGAGTAGACATCAGACTCCTAAAAATTGGTTTAGGTAGTCTCTGCGTCCTACGATGTGTCCCGCACGGCTTGCAAAGTTTTCTTCAAACAGAACTCGTAAGTCTAAAATATTATTGAGGCATTTTATCAGTGGTGTGAAGTAAATCGTCTTGTTTTTTTATTTGAACAAGTGTCTTAGTCTATGGAAATTGCCGATTTTAGATCTCAGCGTCTAAGATTGTTGATTTTTAGCATGCATTCAGTGATAGGTGCAATTTTAAACTCTGCAGCGACAATCACAGAAGACTTAGACTTGTCTTCTATAGTTTTTGATGAATAAAATTTGTAAAGACAAACCTCGTGGCTTCTGGGGTGTTAACAGACATAGCTGTCCAGTTTTTTGGAGAATTGAGGACGTTG